TGGTAAACGTTTACATAACTATGGAAAACCACCATTTTCAATAGGTAAATCAACTATATCTATGGCAATTTGCAATAGTTTTTTGTATGTTTGCCAGAGGGTATATCCCCATTATCCACTATTCATCCATGACTCTTGATTGGTTTCCATTAGTAACCATTATTAACCATGGATATTCCCAATGATATTCCCAAGGGTATGGAAACCCAGAAATCGAATTTTCCGTCCTTCCAGAGGGTGACTCTCCACTGTTTTGCCAAAAACCGCTGGCAGAATCAGCCCCAGCAGGTGACAATTTATCACCCCAAAAACATCTTACAGGGTATATCATCATACGAATGGCTAGTAAGAATGATGATTATCTTATCATTCTTGTTATGGTAATCATGATGATGTGTCACGATTTTCTTCACTATCAAAATCAACACTCTTACTATTTATTTGATAAATACACAGTACATACTGGGTACCCTCCGGTTATTTAACATAGCTATGGAAAATGGTCCATTTACAGATGATTTTCCCAGCTATAAACCTCGATTTATTTCAGGGATTTTCCATGGCTATGTTAGTCATAACCAGATGGTATATACAAATATTCGATGAAATGCTTTAAACAAAATGGTATCCTACTTTTACAGTATACAGAGTTTACATACTTATACTATTTAAGGTGGAACCTACTATTTATAATGGATTTTCCATGGCTATGTTAAATTAGCAGATGGTACATTTAAGAGTCATAACACTTGGCTGCCTCGCGATTTTCGTCAAGGCACCAACTGCCATTCCTTCAGATAACTTTCCAGACCTTTTCGGCATTGCTCTGCAGCTTCCTTGCGGCCAAACGAAACCGAATTGGGCGTCCAACTTTTTCCAAACCTTCTAAGGAATATTATGGTTTTTGGTGGTGTATGATTGTATACGCACTATGAGCAAAAGTCATTGAAAAGATTTACGCGCATGTCCAATGAAAACGGTGGTTTGGAGTGTATCCGATGATAAAGAACTGAGATACCATCAACGGGACCCAGAAAGAATTTGATGGGATCAACCCATAACAAAATAATTCTGAAAGTTAGTTGGACTCATCTTTCTATTTGGAGGTTTCCTAAAATGGGGGTACCCCCCAAGTCATCCATTTTATTCTCGGATTACCTTATGGACACGCCCATTTGTTGGATGAAACATAGTTCTGACACATTTTTCAAGTAGGGACTGCCTGATGTTGTCAGTCAAAACATAATAAGGTTCTTAAACGCTCCCTAAAACGTCAGTTGCAAGCCTCAAAGTTCATTTTGAACATGACTTTCTCTGAACACATGATCTTTTCTCGGGTTCCATCTGAGTTTTCCACGATGACATTTTGCTGGCTACAGCCACATCACAGTTTTTATCCTGTGGGGACCACAGTTGCCATTCGAGCTCACGACCATCAGCGATATACCACCAGGCTACATTTCCCAATGTCTGTTGTTCGCCCCCTATTTATGAGTCGTATCACCAAAACCCTTCGGTACACACACACACACTCACAGACAGACAAGAACACATACACACACACCTTTTGACCATGTAATCTAAGACACGAAAAGAACAATAATCCTCCAAGACCCAGATCTTTCCAGTTCCCCTGAGCCATTAAAAACACCCGGTCTTACCATCTCATTGTACTACTTGGTTGAAAACGGTTTCCCTACTATGGGTCAGTTCGTAATTCCCCATTTCATCAACAATCAACCATCATCTATCACGTGGATCTCCATAACTTTCATTGTTAAACTACCACAAAACCATTATAACTGATGGTTAAATAAGGTAACCCATCAACCAAGGTATCTTTAATGGGCAGGAAAACATCGCCGTCCTGACACTCCAGGGCAGTGGTGTAGTCCGAAGTGAGCCATGGAGCAGCTGGAACCTGCTGGGGATGAGAGATACCCTTTTAACCAGGAAAAAAACGATGACTTCCATGCGGGTTTGTCACAATATAGGGGTTCCCATGGGTGCCCCTAAACCCCTTTTCTTCCAAACAATGGCAAATTTGGGGCACCCCTATCTTGAGACATGTCCATTTGGGTTTGTCACAAAAAATATGTTTTGTTTTGCGAGCACATGATGATAATCCAATGGTTTTTCGGGGTACCCAGTCTTGAGACAAAAGCATATGTTTCATGTTTAACATCTCCGTTACTGATGGCTACATCATAATATCCTTTGATAGTTAAAACGCCTAGTTGATGCTTCAAACTTGAACCCTGCAAGGTGGTGCCCCACAGTTATCTACCGTAAATTGGTCTATAGCTGAAAAAATAAGGTTTTAATGGGTTTTACTACTGGGTTTGTGAACCGACTCGTAACTTGGGTGCCCATTTTTTGGGAGGAACGTCTACAACAACCCAATATTTGGAAGTTCACCAGGGGATTCCATAGGTTGTGATCCATGCCCATTTTATCCATGGGTTTGGGGGAATGTCACCTGGATCGAAAACGTGCGGTCGACATGAGCTCTGCTAGCTTGGCATCAAGTGAGAACTCGGACATCATTGCACTCACATTCTTGAGAGGACCCACGACTGCACGGGCGTTGCTGTCGTATTGTCGAAGTAACAGTCTGGTAGGAAGGTTCGCGGAAAAGATGAGCCGCACTTTGAAAGCTTTGCCCGCGTCCGGTTTTGGGCTCAGGTCCACGAGCTTTTTGATCAACCCCTGGTACGCCCTCCTGACGGCTTCGTCGGCGCTCAAACCATCGATCAAAGGGGCAAACCGGAGTGAGTATTCGATTTCTGTCGTCTTGAGATCACCGACCATGGTAGTCGAGTCTGTTGCCCCCAGCGACCAAATCTGTCATGGCTCGGTTCGCCGCAACTGAGACAGGTTTGGCCCTTGCGCACTGTGGTAAGCAAGTCCTCCGCTTCAACGGCGCGCTGTCGATGTTCTGCCTGTGAGAAGGGTCTGTTGTGCAGAAATCTACCGCCGAATTGAGTGTTCAATGAACGACTGCACGACAGCATGGCCAAGAATTTGGTCTCTTCCAAAGCGAAGAACGCTACGGGTACTCCTGTACATCGGCCACTGCCCTGAGGCTTGCGTGGCTCAAGACATGGTGGATGTTCGCTTGCAGCCACTGCACCTGTTGTTCTCCAATGCAACCATATTACTGAACATGGTTTTTCTGCAATTTTCCACAATGCTGTATTATTTCAATTTTCGTCATTTCCACAATGATTTCATTTTCCTCATTTTTTTCCACACTTTTCCTCCATATTCCCATCATGGTTGTTGGGTTTTCCCAATTTTTGGTAAGAATTTCCATGATTTTTCCAAATTTTTTTTTTCCATTTTCCGATCATTTCCCAAATTTTTCACAACCTTTTTCTGTCCCCCTTTTGGCCCTGAAAGGACGACGCTTCACCTCTGGCGGCGGCTGGTCACCGCTGAGCTTGGCCAGGCGCCCGGCGGCGCAGCGCAACGCGTAGGCCGCGGTGAAGCAGCTGCGGCGAAGAGCTTCGCCTAGAGCTCCTGGATGGGATGACATCGGGGATGACAACGGATGATTTTACAAGTTTCTGTTGTGTATACCCTCTGGTTATTTAACATAGCCATGGAAAATCACCATTCTTAATAGGTAAACCATCTATAAATGGGCCATTTTCCATGGCTATGTTAAATAACCAGAGGGTACTGTATATTATAATACTGGTTGGTGGTTGACCTACCACTCTGAAAAATATTAGTCAACGGGAAGGGTTGTCCCATATATTATGGAAAATAAAAATGTTTGAAACCACCAGCCAGTGTATATTATAATAGTAAACTATGTAGTAATCATCATCAAAATGGTTATGATAATGATTGAGATGATGATATTATGGTAAACTATATCATAATCATCATCGAATAATTATTGGGGGACTCATCTCTGAGAATTATGGATATTTTAAGTTTATAGTTATATGGTCTGGGATGACAACTGATGATATTAGTACCCTATATAAAAATCATCATGGATGATATATGGTTATGAATTATATTAGGGGCTGCTAATAAATTATATGATTGAGAATTTTAAGTTTTCCCCAATGTTGCGTGAATGGATGAATAGATTGCCTATTACTATGGATGTATTCTTCCCACCAAAAATATTGCTACGGGATGACAAGTGATGATATTATAAGTTTATAGTTAAATATAAGTATAATGTGTATTAGATAAAATTATGAGGTATCTAAAATTCAACAATTATAGTAAACTATTCAATAATCATCATGGAATAATTATATAATATGTTTTTGTTTAAATAGGGACTGTTAGTATATTATCATTGATATGCCCAAATGTGATGATGATAGTATCTCTGGTAATGATATTAACGAATATTAATGATATATATATATATGTATAATTGAGATAATGATCCTGTATTTGTAACACTTTTTTTGGGATAAAGATCTTATAATTGTAATGATATCATATAATTTCGATATCTGGCAAGTTAATAAATCTAGATATTGGGTGATTACAATTGTCGGGATATAGTAAATGGTAACTACACCTAAATATACGGATTATTATATATACGAACTGGTACTTTAGACTACCTCCGGGAAGGTTTTCCTTGGCCTGCCCGGCCATTCAAACATACGGAATCCAATTTGTTTAAGTATACACTGAAATATACGGATGGAAGTGGTGTTTCATACTACCTCCGGTGCCTTGTAGTCTGGCCCGCCCTCCCCATATTTAAATGTCGTTACCGTAATACCTATATTGACATATATTTTAGTCCCAGAGGAAGAATGGGAAGTTTATAGTATTTCATTGGATTGGTTTGAGCGAAAATCAACAGGAAACCATAGTTTTTCCTATGAAAGATGGGGTTGTCCTGTAAATTTCCCCAAAAACCAAAAATCTTTTAGGACAATTCAAGGCAAGAATATTAGGGATTTCAATATAAACAATGAACCGCATGGACATTGACAATAGCAATGGTGCTGGAA